TAAAGTTTATTCACCCATTTAAAATTTGTTCTTGTACTATACATGTTTACGTGTAAACACCTTTTGGAAAATTTCTACATCATATTGGGTTGCGTCACCCATTATTCATATTTTTAGATTAAGCACCACGTGCACACGACACACCTTGACCGATTCCAACTTCATTTGATAAGGCGACGGAATCAGCCAAATGTGCTGCAGTTTGGTGTGTATTGAAAGAATTCATTTTGTGTTATAATTGGATTATATTTCATGAAATTGACAGGACCTAAGACAGTCGGTAAGTACAAGTTTAAGTATAGACTGGGGTAAAAAAAACGAAATGCAAATGATTAGGTTGAAGTTCAAAAAGGGTAAAAAAATCATCACATGCCACAGTTTACCATTGTGAAGTTATCTCCCGTTGTCGATGTGATATTCAGTTACTGGTGCAGATCCAGAATTTTTTTTCGAGAGGGGGAGGGGGTTTCACGCCTCTGTCAAAAAATTTCCAGCTCAGAATTTCCTGACAAGCCCAAAAAAAAAAAAAAAAAAAAAAAAAAAAAAAAAAAAAAAAAAAAAAAAAAAAACAGAAAACAAATAAACAAAATAAAAACAATGATACTAGTAGTGGGGTCATGGGGTCAATGTTTTCTAATGGGGAGGATGTCGAAAGTCATTTATTTCATTATATAATCTTATATTTAAATAACAAAGCAAAGTCCAAGGGGGGGGGGGGGCTAATCTTCCTAGCCACTCCCTATCCCAAATTACAATTGATCTTGTGACTCCAAAACAGTAGATTTTTTTTCATTTGACTATATACATATTTTTTTCTTGTGTTTATATTATGCGTTTCTATTTGTCCCCAGAAATTTTAACCTTGCCCATAAATTTTAAGTGCGATGGGCTATACACATGGCTTCCACATTTCATAGGTAAATTACTTGTGACAAGACCTTTTATTTGGGTACCACGAATTTTGACCTCTTGATTTCTTGACCTTGGATTTTTACCCATTTTTACAAGGAAAATACCAAACTTTAAACTTTGCCTAAACTTTGATCTGACAGTAGTTGCCAGGGTTTTCATGCTTAACATGTGTATTCATTGTGAATTTTCAACAGGTATAAAGTATACATAAGTTTGACCTTGACCTTAGAGTTTGACCCGCTTTAAAAAAAAACTTCAACCTTGTCAATCAACTTTTGAACAGGAAGTACTAGGGATTTCTTATTTCACATGTGTTTTCCTTGTGACAAGATTTTCTTCTGATACCAACAATTTTAACTCGTTGACCTCTACCTTTGAGTTTGACATACATTTGAGAAACTTCAACCTTCGCCATAGGCTGCCATATGGGGGCATCACAAACACATCTTGTCTTTATTATTAATTGGTGGTGTCTCCATATGAGGGAAAAATTCCTGAGAGAGATGTTTTCAAAACAAACAAACAAATTACTAAAACAAATATAAAAGATGAATACGTTGGTCATATCTCGGCATGAAAAAAAGCTTTTCAAATAATGGTATAAACCATTGTAACCCTTTCAAAACACTCATTTGTCAAATGAGGTTTTTTGGTTTTATCACATTACATCTGTCGTCTATTTGTTTGGAAACATTTTACATTTTTAACTTCTCTAGAACCACTGGGCCAATTTTAACTAATTCACATAGAAATATGTACATTTGTATGTCAGTCTGTCCATCTGTCTCAATAAATTTAACCTTTAGGTCATCACGCTCATATCTATTGATGAGAAGAGACAAGGCATTCATATTAATTTAATATGAATGCCTTGTCTCTTCTCATAAACATATGTATTAGTATTTACCTTTTAGAATGGCATGATTTTTTTACCAGTGACCTAAAAGTTTGACCTACTTGCAAAAAAAAAAAAAAAAAAAAAAAAATTACATCGTTTTTAATTCGTCATTTTGAAAGAGAAAAGTTAAGGCATTCATATTATATATACACGGATATTACTACCTATGATAAGACCTTTCCAAATAAATCATGATTTTTGACTCTGTGACTTTGACCTTGAAGCCTAACCTACTTTTCAAAAATGTTGCATTTGCTTATAACTTTTGATTGAGAAGAGATATGACTTTCACATTTGACATGTACATTAATTACTCAAAAGAATTCAAGATGTTTCCCAGCGATGATTTATACCCCTTGACGTTGATGTTTAACCTAATTTTCAACATATTTAACTAACCTAAAAGATGATTAGCCTTCTGAGTAAAATGTAGGAGAAGTTCAGGAAAGACGAGGCTTTTTGCACAAATACATCATTTTTCGATCCCTATTTGAACCCCCGGGGCAAAATCAAAATTTCGAAACCTACATGACACCACCAACCATCTCCCAAAAGATGATTAGCTTAGGCTACTGTGTAAAATGTAGGAGGAGTTCAGGAAAGACGGGGCTTTTTGCATAAAAAAACGTCATTTTTCGACCCCCATTTGATCCCCCGGGGCAAAATCAAAATTCAAAAACCTTACTGCACATCTACATGACACCACCAACCATCTCCCAAAATATGATTCGGCTACTTTGTAAAATGTAAAAGGAGTTCAGGGAAGAAAAGTGTGACAGACAGATGGACGGACGGACATGAGTAACAACAATATTCCCGAACTTCCTTTAGAAAGTGCGGGTATAATTACCAAAGATTGACCATAGGTCCGGTCCATTGAAAGCTCTTGATATGCATGTTCGACAAGTGTACATTGGTTAACAAATTAGATGTGTATGTGTGTGTCAAGCGAGATAGGCCAGGGAGAGGTTGGGGTGTTTACTTAGTATTTTATCATGGTATTACTATGGACTCGCAGAAACAATTCATTTTATTATTGGATGGAAAGAAAAAGAGAAAGAGAATTTTCTTTATGCTTGTCTGCAATGCTGGTGATTTGTATGGTACAGTATGGTATTATAATTGTCAATAAACCCCTTCCCACTATATATTTACACCTGCCAGTACAAATGCATAGTTGTTTTTAAAGATTCATTGCATTTGTCTATAAAAAAGCAAAAGTACACTGGTCAATCACCCTCACAACAACAACAACCCCGCCCAAGCACGCACGTTTCTATTTTGCAGCACCTATAATTTGAATACATCTATTAAACTGATTTTAAATATATTTAGCTAATTAAATCAATATTTCATAAAATTCATAATTGTAAGAAATTGCATACATCTTTTTTTTTTTCCTTTTTGTTTTATTTTCTTTTCCTTACTAAGGCAATTCAAATATTAGACCCCATGAAAATTCCATAAATTGTACCAAGATTGCAAGAAATTCATATCGTCTGTAAATACGTTGAAAAACAATGTGTCTATATCATGTGCATCAAATGGTACAACAAGATTTGTTGACAAACCCGCCGTCAATAATTTGAACTTGTTTTTGGCTTTTTAGCGTTTTTCCTACGTGACGTCATACAGTTTGTTGAGTAATTTTGAACGCTGATCTTTATGAGTAGTAACTAACATTCCCATGGTATAATTTTTCGTAATTTTCGGTCATGCAGTCAAAAATATTTCGAATATATATTATGTGACCCTGCGTTTCTTTTCCTTTCAGTATATATATTAATTATATTAAAGCCGCTAAGTCCGATTCTAATCGCGAAAAATATATTCGTTTTCTTCTTGAAACATAACTGTCCATAAATTGTTTCAACTTATGTCAAATTATATCCCCAAAGTCTTTTTAATTTAAAGATACAAAAATTCAAATGTTAAAAAAAATAATTTTGTGTTGGGCCACACAAAAAATAATCCTATGACGATATCGCTATTCGCAATGGCATGAAAATTAAATTTATTGCATATATATCATTATGAACAACAAACTTTTATTTCATAAAAAAGTACTTATACCTGTACACGGACAATATTTTACTTTTTAGCCTTCGTTACTAAACTTCCTTTAAAAAAATCTTTAAAAAAGATCCTTTATTCTTTTAAATGTGCATATTAATATAAAATGACTGTGGATTATATTCAATCAATTTCTTAATTTTTAAATGATATATTAATGACAATGAAAAAAAATACTCGGGTTTGTTCTTCATAATTATATATAACCCATAATTTTTTTTTTCAAAGGTGACTTCACGACTGATCTTAACTTCCCGTCAGGAACTTCTGTGTTTGTCAGTAAGGTTTTTCCTTGTAAGGACTGTTGTAATAAACTATTTAATCAGTCTTATTATCTGTTTATATATATTTTCTATGTAATGACGTACTTTTATTGTGTAAGATAATGTGTGCTTGTTTGGGATTAAGCGGCCTTAAACTATAATTAAATTTTGTAAAAATAAAATTATGGTTAAAGGTATTATTACCTACTTCAATGCACAACATCATTAAACGATAAAAAGACGATTAAACTATAATGTAGTAATAATTACATTGTATGACCAGTAACTGTTAATACTGTATCTTGTTCTTTATTTTCAATAAATACACAACATACGAATTTAACATGCATTTCTTTTTTTTCAGATCGGATTAGGAAGCGATACTGCATGAGCGGATCTAGAAATTTTTTTTTTACCAAGACAGAAACAAATATACGACCAAAAAAGTGCAAATTGCTTATCTCAGTGAACGAATACGCATGATTTCTGATTTTTTTTATATTCGCATTTGATACCTCATATATTATATAGTCCTTAGTATTTAATTTTGAAAGATAGGAATACCATATAGATTATTAAGTTTTTATTCTGTATGTAGCAGATATTCCAATCATTTCTTCGAATAAGGAATTCAGTTGGCTCATATGAATAGCTTTCAGATACTCGAAAGTAGCTGAAAAAAATATTGGTAAACCTTAATGAAAAATGGCTTAACAATCTTTACTTTTCAGGGAATAATTACATCTTTAGATGTATTTTTCTTTGATATTGAAAATACTTCTCGAGGAATACTATGAATAGAAACAATAAAGCAATTCCCTGTTCTCTATTTTAACAGCCTTGAAAAAAATTACCTTTTAAAAAATCATTTTCCTTTGAAATTTCAAAGATGTCCTCATGCACTTCTAAGCCTATTGTAGATTGGGTGTTTTGGAATTCATCAAGGGATTTCTTCTGTAGTCGTTTCAGAAGGGTGGTTTTTCCTGCACCAGCACACCCAACAATCATAGCACGAGCTCTGTGAATCGATTGTGTTCCTTTTTTTGCACATTTTACGTACCTGCACCTTGCTTCATAGTCCCAATTAAGAATTTCCGTTGGAATATTTACTGAAAGAATGAAAACAAAAATCTTTTTCATTTGTTATCATTTACTAAGATTTTAATTTTTGATTACTTCAGTATAAAATCTAAGTACACAAACCTTATTAGGAAAAGACTGAAAGGCAATTGAACCTATCAAAAATTTAAACTTTTAAAAGAAAAAACTGAAAGAAAATTGAACTTGACAAAACATTTATCCGCATAAAGGATTCGTTTTTTTTTACTACATTTAAAAAAAATACCTGTAATAACCTTGCAATAGCACAACACCTTTTAATTTGAAATAAAACAGTGTACGTGCATTACTGACCGTAATGGTTTAAAATATGGTTTGAATAATAGGTTATATTTTCTAACAAGTTAATTATCAAAATGACATTTCAATAATATATCTGTTTTCTCAAAATCATACATAGAAGAAAATGAATCCTTTTCTATTAGGCAGATTCAATTTTCAGAGAAAGTTACAACATTAAAAACAATTAGAAATGGAAGAATATATAAATTGAATAAGTTTTTTAGATAAACTTACAAATATCAGACACAAAATGTTGTATCCTTTTTTGTGTCACTATGCAGTGTCGTACGATGTCTATTCCAGACTCTCTCACCAAGGTCTCCTCCATCTTCCTCGGAAAATATAAATATCTTTTACGATCATAATCAAACATTGAGTAAGATGATGATATTGAGTCAGATGATGACAAGATGTCTATTCCACTCTCTCTCCTCTCATTCATTTCTTTTAATCTCTCCAAATTCCCCTTTATATCATCTTCGTAGTCTACAGTACGAACATATTCTAACACTGAGTCAAATGATGACAATTTGATATAGTTCGTGTAGTCATCATCAGTTTTTAAACAGTTTAGAGAAAAGTATCCCATGACAAGAGTACGGATATTCTCAGATTTAAACTCTAGTCTCTCTTCTCTATTTCTTGTTAGTATTTTGTTCTTGTTTATCAATTCTTGTATAAGCAAAGTATTATCGGAAATTCCGTCATCGGAGCCATTCAGTGTTAGAAAGGTCTGTTGTATTCGTTCGACTTTCTCTTCCAACAATTTCTCTTCATATAAAACGCTGTACTTTTCTGACATCAAAATGAGTATAAGTATGCTCCATTGTCTCTTGTGTAAAACCAATTCCCAAAACTCTGAAATTAATTTGTTACAGTTTTAAATGGTCAAAATGCATCACGATATTTGTAAACAACTAGAGATACTGTGAGCACTGAGCTCACCAAATGATCCCCCCGCTCCCATATGATTATAATGGCAAAATGCATGTTCTGCTCATACATGTAAACAACTCTTACGGGCAAAGAGAAGTAACTCTAAAATAAAAATAAGACAAAATATGAATATAATGGCATTGCCCCATGTTTTGCTATGGGAAACCCAAAATATGTGTTGGATCAAAAAAGGTTCACAATGGCAATATGTAACAAAGATTTTATGAAAGTTTCATCAAAATTCAATCAGTGGTATGAGAGGAGTTGCGGATAAGAGATGGATTCCCCAAAGCGTAACAGACAGACGGACGGACATCCCGATTACTATATACCCTCCCACTTTTCAAGCGGGGGTATAATAATACAGTCATAACTGATCCCCCACTGTGACGTCATTCGTTCACAGGTGTAAATAAACTTGACAATCTTTTATCTAAACAAACAGAGAATTTCCTACATTTTTCAAACATATCAAATGAAAAGCGCTAATTTGCATTTCATCTACACAAGCAGAAAACACTTCCTTATTTCCATGACACTAACTACTACTTCTCTAGTATTTAAAGGTATTTTCCCCCTTAATTATGTTTTGTTATTATTGGTTTTATTTGTTCTTGAGTACTTTCTATTGTTTATAAATTATATTTTCTGTGAAATTTATTTTTCTTTACCCTTTTGGTATCCGGAAAGAATTGTGTATGCTGAGAAACATCTTTCAATTTCTGTATCAAAAACTCCATTAGACCAATCTGTGGGGTGTATGTTCCATCGGCAACACTGATTCTTCCAAAATTGGACAAAATCTTGGGAATCAGTACTGATTTGCTTTGGCATAAACCATTCTTCTACGTCTTAGGTTGTGTGAAACAGAAAAAAAATCGACTATTACAATTATTTTCCCTGTTCAATATGTATGGAAAAATAATCAAGCTGTAATTTTTAAACTAAAAGGAGGCAAATGATGCCACAACAATCACTACAATCATCTTAGCTCTCTTGTTCTTCAGATTTTTACAA